AAACTGTGGGATTCTCAGGTGTCTCTTCTTAAAGGTTCCTCAATGGACTTAGGACTTACAGAGACTCACCGTGATTCAGCACCAGGGCAACAGCTGAAAGGACACCAGTGGCATATCGGGAGAAATTGAAGTGACTGGCATCAGGGTGAATGCTAAGAGACAACTTTCCCTGAATAAAAACCCAGAGGCCAGGCAACAGTATTATTCACTCTCTGTGCCCTCCCCCACACAGAGCAACAGACTAGCAACTCTGGTTGCCCCACCCTCACAATTACCTAAGTTTCTGCCCCATCTAACTTAGTGGTGCACTTTTCCACATAGGCCAAGTGGTGCACTTTCCCCATAGGCCATGCTACTAAGACAGGGAGTGAAATCTGCTCTGCCGAATACACAGAAACAAACACAGGGAGACTGCCAAAATGAGGAGACAAAGAAATGTGGTCCAAGTGAAGGAACAGAAGAAAACTCCAGAAAAAAAGAACTAAACAAAATGGGGATAAGCAATATATCAGATGTGGAGTTCAAAATACTGTTGATTAGGATGTTCAAGGAACTCATTGGGTACTTCAACAGCATAAAAAAGATTCAGGCAAAAATGAAGTTTACAGTAAATGAAATAAAGAAAAATTTATAGGAACCAACAGTTGAGGGGATGAAGCTGAGAATCAAATCAATGATCTGAAACATAAGGAAGGAAAAAGCATTCAATCAGACCAGCAAGAAGAAAAAAGAATCCAAAAACATGAGGATAGGCTGAGAAGCCTCTGGGACATCACAGTACCATTGTTCGAATCATAGGTGTGCCAGAAGGGTAATACAGAGAGCAAGAAATTGAAAACACATTTGAAAAAATAACAAAAGAAAACTTCCCTAATTTGATGAAGGAAATAAATATACAAGTCCAGGAAGCACAGACAGTCCCAAACAAGATGGCCCCAAAAAGGACCAAACAAAGACACATCGTAATTAAAATGCCAAAGGTTAAATCTTAAAATCTTAAAAGCAGCAAGAGGGAAGCAGATAGTTACCTACAAAGGAGTTTCCAAAAGACTGTCAGCTGATTTCTCAAAAGAAACTTTGCAGGCTAGGAGTATATTTGAATACTGGCAAGAAGTATTCAAAGCAATGAAAAGCAAAGACCTGTAGCCTAGGTTACTCTATCCAGCAAAGCTATCATTTAGAATGGAAAGAGATAAAGTACTTCTCAGACAAAGTAAAGCTAAAGGAGTTCATCATCAGCAAGCCATTGTTATACGAAATGTTAAAGGGACTTATTTGCGAAAAAGAAGATCAAAACTATGAACATTAAAAAGGCAACAAATTCACAACTATCAACAACTCAATCTAAAGAAACCAACTAAGCAAAGAAGCAGAACAGGAACAGAATCATACATATGGAGATCATTTGGAGGGTTATCAGGAGGGGCAAGGGGGAGAATGAGGGAAAAGGTGCAGGGATTAAGAAGTATAACTTGGTAGGTATAGAATAGACAGGGGGATGTTCATAACAGTATAGGAAATGGAGAAGCCAAAGAAATTATCTGCATGACCCATGGATGTGAATGAAGGGGGGCATTGCTGGAGGAAGTGGGGGGTACCAGATGGTGGAGGCAAAAGGGAAAACACTGAGACAACTGTAATAGCATAATCAATAAAATATATTTAAAAATCTGGTTGAGTATCCTATTGAGGAGAATGTAGAAGAACTTTGATTTTAAAAAGTCATATACAGAGATCATTGTCTTTAGTGTAGAACGGTATGATATTGATGGAATTCATGCTTCTATTGATGGAATTCATGCTTCAGGCTGGGAGCATTGTATCTTAAAATTTTTAATATTATCACACTCAACAAGCATTTGGTGTATGCTATGTGCTAGACATGGTATGTATCAATGGGGACCCAAAGATGAATGAGATCACAGGGACACAGTAAAGATGAGCCATCTGTGATTTACCACATGTCACAATGACAACAGTGCTACATGAGCAGAAAGAGGACAGCCGTAATTGTGTGAGTGTGGTGTGATGGGTGGAGAAAGAAGAAGGCCATTAAGGCCATCGTGTGATAGAGATACATATGACAGCCTTCACTAATTATGTGATAGGTTTCATCATCATTAGAGTCACACAGTTGAGACTGTGGATGCAACTTGGGGTGCTCATGAGGACAGAATGAGTGTTGCAACCCCAGGCCAAGTACTAGCACAAGTATTGTGCTTCCTCAAGGGAGAAGGTGTGCCAATTCTGTCCAGAAGAACCTTTTATATTTATTAGACTTTAAAATATTTGTGCCCTGGAAGTGTTTTACTGCCTCTGCAACCTCCACTTTTAACTCTGTGTAAACACGATATGGTGGGTGAAAGCCCACAACTCCACTCACAGATCAAATTATTGGCACATTTGTCATTATGAAGACAGCACATTGGAAGGTGCTATATTCGGAAAGGGTGCATTTATGTCGTTAAATAGTTCCCAATAGGAAATGTCTTATATCCTCAAAGGTCTTTTGCTTGTATCATTTTTTAATGCCTTTGATTGCTTCCTATCTAACTTTTTTGAGGCTGTGGTATATTGTTTGTTCCCTCTTATCTCTCTTCCCCTTAAGCTGTAGACCTAAGTAGAAGTTCATGTTTTTAAATTATTTATCAAACAGTTCAGATAGCTTGTGTTTTGAGCTAGGCATTCTTCTAAATACTTTGTAAATATTAACTTGCTTAGTTTTTATAACTATTCTTTGAGGTGTCTACCATTACTATCAGTTCCTTTTTACAGATGAGGAAATGACAGGTAGAGATATTAAGGAATTTGCATAAGGACACACAGCCAGAGAAAGAGCAAGCTGCAGAGCTGGGATTTGAACCTTGACCCCCATGAGCTTGATCTCACTGCAGTGTTGAGGTATAGAGAGATCCTACTGTGGGTCCACCAGCTCAGACCTTGGTAGGCTTTTCCCCATTCACTTAGCCTTTTTCACTTCTGCCCAAAATATGCTGAGATCTTGAAATGCAAAGGTTAATGGCTTTAATTGTGATTCCACACTGTGGTTTTTGGCTAGAGTCTGCTGGCCACTGGCTTTGTGGTAGTCAGTCTTTAAAAGTGGTTTTTGTTAGATAATTGCATGTCTTCAACTTATGTATTATAAACAGAGCAGTAATCTGGCCCAGGAGTAGCTAAATAAAGTTATTTGATATCCATTAAGTCAAGTTTCTATTTTTATTCACCTCTATTAGAATTGAATATGGCAACGGTCAGGAAAAAGCAACACCATGGAATATATTGTAGTGGGTATCTCCTGACTGGATAGATTTTTTTTTAAATGCCTTCTGAAGAAGGTAGGCATCTTTCTGCTTTCTTCCCTCCCTAACAGAACAGATAACTACAATTTTCCCCTTAGTTATTCCCCTTAGGTATTATGACAATTTAGCTTTCTTTAGAATATGAATTTTAAAGGGGAAAATAAAAGCACACCTTTTAAAAAATTTAATAGACTTGGAACATGACTATTTTTTAAAAGACCTATTTAAACCTCTGCTACCTAAAATATTTACCTTACTCAGAAAATTCTTGGTAGTTCAAGATAAATAAAAATATCATAGCACATAAAATAATTACTTATGTAGTATATATGAAGTCCCCAGGTAGTAACCATATTTGAAATAAGGGCATTCATTGTCAGTGATTGCTTTTTATTGGTGTTTTATGATTTAGTTGACTTATTATGTATTTATAGGTAAAGAATAGATTGTTAAGATAGCATCTTCTATCAGAGGTTTTCAAGTTTGAAAACTTGAGCCTAAGCTGACTGTTCAGCCTTTGGAGTTCCATCATTCCTTTCAGTTAGCCCATTGGTGCAGATTGCTATTCAACCTGACAGAGTACAATGAGCCAGATAAGACATATCTGAGTGGTTTTCCTGAGGCCCTGACAGAGCCACACACAAGTCAGCAGTCTGTGATTAATGTCCATAGAAAGTAATATTTTTACCATTTTACAGATGGGGAAATGGAGGCCCTGAGAGGTTAAGTGGCTTGCCCTCCATCGCAAGGCTGTTTAGTAGATCCGGGAAAACCAGGCACTCATGCCAGCTACCATGCTTTTGCATTCAATTCTCACCAGTTCTAAACTTTGCAAGTTACAGTTCTTGTACCTGTCCATAGGTAGGTTACAAACTGGAAGTTGGATTTAAAGCAAGAGGATGTCATTGCCATTCACTTTCTAGGAGAAGGAAGCTACCAAGGTTGCTTTGGCTAAAAGAGCCAGTTCCCCATGGATACGACCCTCCTGGACCAGCTGGCTCTCTGCTGATCCTCTGAGGCTTTAGTCCATGAGGATTCAATCAGCCCCAGACCACTGGCTGGGATGGGGGGCAGGAGGACTGTAAATCTGGGGAAACTGCAAGTATTCAGGGTCTTGAACTTTATCAGGTTTAAATGTGTGATTGTGAAAGTAAAGAGCAAAGAAATGACAGCACTCAGTAAATCAGATGTAGAGAAGATCAGGACTGTCAGAGACCAGAGAAAAACAGGCTCTGGGCACAAACCCTGCTGAAAACCTGCAGGGAGGGGGAGGCTTTTATGTTCTCTCCAGACTTTGCCTTTTGAGAAACAAATCTCTTTCCCTGTCATTTTATCTAGAGAACGGTATTCTTTGTTATGTCCCATGGATTTTTTTAAAAAGTTTTCCTGATTGAGGTTTAGATCTTGTTTGAGAAAACAGGACACTGTAAGAAAAAAAATTGGGTGGAAAATGTCTAGAATGGCCTAGATTTTCCTCTGTCATTAATGGGTTCCATTTTTCAGGAAAAGTGGGCAAAAAATAGTGTGTTCCATAGCTCCTCAGATATATTTTTGTTCAACAACAAAAATGTAATTAAAGTAGAATAAGTCTCCTAATATATTGCAATAACAAACTGAAAGGCAAAAAAAAAAAAAAAGCATTAAAGAAGTGTAATTAGCTGACCGGGTCAATTTAATTAGTTCTTTTTTTCTGATATCCAGTGCCAGTCCTCACAGCTGCCCTCCTTCGGGGCCCCATCTGCTAATTCACTGCTATCTACTGCCAGAAAGGAGTTCCAGGGAGAGGGTGCTGCTAAGAGACTGGGATTCTTTTCCTGGAGCAGAGGACAAGCCTTAAGATTACTATCTTTGTCCTATAGAAGATACTGGTCTGTTGGCGGCATTTGCAAGGGGAACAAGGAATGCTTCCTCTTCAAAGGAATCAAAAGTAAGTAAAGGACTTCTTAGTCTCAACTCCCTCCTCCTGTTTCCTACCACAATGCAATAAATAAAGTCCTCGCTGCTGGTGCATGGGAAAAGCTTGAGATCTCTGGTGAATGGCAGTCTCGGAGAAGTTCTTTCCTGAGAAGTAATTAGGTTCAGAGGACAGTTAGGTCACACAAGAAATTAAAATTTGGTGTAGTATATGCGAATCTATTACAACATAGATTTTGGTAATAACAGTTCACACATATACAGTGCTTACTATGTGCCAGGTACTACCGGTATTAGCACTTTACATATCATCCTCATTTTACAGACGAGGAAACTGAGGCACAGAGAGGTTAGACAATTTGTCCTGGTCACACAGCTAGTAAGTGGTTGCGATAGGATCCAAACCCAACTAGGCTGGCCCAGGATTTGGGCTTCCAGAAAGTCCTTGTTATGTGAGCTAGAGCAGCTCCCTTCTTTTCAAATTAATCATGAAGCCTAGAGGAAAATCGGAGCCTAGGTATTTCACCAGAGAAGAAAAAAGGCTGTCATCTCCCCTTGTCTTGAAAGGTCCCTGTGGTTCTTTGCCTGACCAGCTCTACAGAAGTGCCAACCTTGTAGACTGTAAACACTTCAAAACTAGAGGCCAGCTTTTCTAGTTCTTCTTTGTGCCGTGGTACTCAGTAGTGCTGGGTAAGTACAGGACACTGGAGGACTGCATGTGGGTAGACAACCCTTTGGTCCTAATTCTCTGCATATTTGCAACATAGCTGAATGGAAAGGTCATATTTCTTGGTGGCAAGTGCAATAATTTTTTTCCTTGGATACTTTAAAAAAATTGATCAAGGAGGAACATTTAGTTATTTAGCGAATCTCCAAAAGGCTATCTTTTTCTGCTGCCCCTTTACAACCCTTCCTACAGGGGAAAAAACCCAGTCGGAAAGACCTCTGATCTAAGACAGCTCTGGGGCAGTGGCATCTGGACCCTGATCCTAGAACTGGCATTGCCCACACACTTAAGGATGCAAGTAAAGTCCAAGGAAAGCCCAGGGTTTTGGTCTTTGGAACTTTCTGCATCTCTTTCACCTTCTTGGGTGCGGAAATGATCCCTTACTCTCTGATGATCTGATTTTTTCCCTCTGCAGGAGCTGGGTGAGGAGAAAGGATTCAGTTTTGGAGTTCACCTTATTTGGATGAGGAGAGGAGAAAAGAGAGGCATCTTTAACCTCTGAGGCCTGGCATGAGGTGACAGACAGAAGCTAAAGATACTGGATTGACTTTTGGAATTCAGAGCACGGTCTCCAACTTTGACAGAGAAGAACAGATAGGGGAAGGCAGAAGATGTGAGAAGCCCCACTGCAGGGAGGCCACGAGAGTTCCATATGCCAGTCCAGCTTTTATTCCTGCCTAACTCAAAGCGGTAGAAAAGGCTTATTCGGGCCTAGGGGAAAACTCCAAAAAAGCATCACACTCCCCAAACCCATTTTCCCGTCCTGGATCAGGAAACTGAATATTCCTCTGTTCACCTTTGGTGAAAGGGAAGGGATCACCTCAGGGGCAGGGCCCGGGCCCAGCTGGCAGCCCTAGGCTTTATGTAGTGATGCCAGTAGTAATTAATAATGATAATAAATACCATACTTCATAACCGAACCCAACCTGAGGATGACTGAACGATTGGACCTCTGCCTCCCACCTGCACGCTGTTAGTCTGCGAGTCCACACCCTCCTATTATCTTGGGTCGAATCCAGCTTCCAGGTTCCAGCCACCATATTCAACGGGTTCAAAAGAAGGTCTGCTCCTCACAGCCGCGGATGAGAACTACCAGCGCCCCTCAAAGCCACAGGGAGTGCGGGGTGGGGGTGAGAGTGGGGGTGGGGGTAGAGGTGGTTTGGCTTTGCAGGATTATTCAGCATCAGACAATAATTAAAATGGGATGGTAATTTAGTCCCAGCCGAGCTAGGTTTAATTTTCCTGCAAAGTTCTGGGGACTGTTTTGGGAGCCCAGCTCCTTCCTGCCCGGAGCTGCCTGGGTCCTGGAACCCAGGGTCTGGCCGTCTGGCTCGGTCGGCGACCGGGAACCTCCGCGTCCAGCTTGCGCGCCGCGGCCGGGCGCCGAGGTGCGACCTCGGGGCGTGGGGCGCGCGCCCAGGCCGCGGGGAGGGCCGACGGCGCCGCGGTGCAATGCCTTTATCGGGACCCCAGGGCCACCCGCTCCTCCTTCGCTGCTTCAGGCGATCACGGAAAGACACCTTTCGATCTTTTGTCAGGCATCTTGGCCCTTAATAGCTAAATTTATTTGGTTTAAAGCGGCCTTGGGAGAAGCAGTGAGGGAGAAATCTTTCGTCGGTCATTGGGTGGCCCAGATAACAAGCTTTAAAAGAGAGAGGGGAGAAGAAAGTAGAAAGGTTAATGGACGAGCGGAGGGCGGGAAGGCGCCCGGCGTGGGGCTTTTACCGCGACCCTCCCCCGGCCGCCCCTTATCGCGGCCCTGACTTACCCTCCGAGTTTGAAGCACATTAAGTCACGTAAACAGCTCGCGGAGAGGAATGCCACCGCGGTGACCTTTCGCGCCGCCGCCCCGAGCCCACCTCCGCGCCGCGCTGGCGGCCGGCGGGCGGCGGGGCAGGCGCTGCCCGGGCTGCGGGGCGCGCTCGGGGCTGTGGGGTGCGGCGGCCGTGGCGCTCGGGGAGCTGGATTCCGGTGCCCGGTGCCCGGTGCCCGAGCGTGGCGCTGCCTGCTCCGCGCCCACAGCGACCCGCCGCCGCCGAGGGGTAGGGGCGACCTCTAGGCCGCACCGTACTCGCCGCCGCCACCACCTGACATTTCCAAAGAGTATTCTGGGGGTTTTGAGAATTAAAAATTAAAACACCCTCCTCCTCCTCCTAAGAAACCACCGTCAAGACTCCGGGCGACCGCCCCTGTTGGACCGACAGACGCTGGGGGCGGGGGACACGCTGCCCAGACCCGGCAAGTGGACGCAGAAGCCGGCGGGGCTGGGGGCGCGGAGGTGACCCCGCGTCCTTCGGCAAAAGCATCTCCGGAGCTGGAATTAATATGATATCAGTGGGAAGACACCATAAATCTGGGTTAAAAACACTCTCAATTTAAAGATATGGTTTAAGTCAGACGTTGTGTTCCTTTTCTTTCTGAAACGTCCCCTGAGCAGCTAGGAGGTTGGGAAATGACCGCACGGTGAGCGTGAGTTTGCGGGGGTCAAGGCGGGTGGTGACGCGGCTCTGGGGTCTCGCCGCTCCTCCGCCAGCAGCGCGCGGGACTGAGTCCCCCAACACCCTCTCTGGTTTGGCAGCACAGCCCCCGCCCCCTGCCCCATTGGCTGCTGTTTTCTGGCCGAATTCGAATCGCGATGAGTAGTGTGGCGCGGCCCAAATAAATCAGTCCCGGGGACAGGCTGAGCCCCTGCCTGCGCCCAGGAGCCAGCCTCTCCCCGAAGGTGGGGAGGGCTGCTGGGGAGGGACGGCTCACTTCGCAGGGGCCACCCCTGGGGTCTAAATAGTCCAGAGAGAAACGATTCCGTTTCAGATGAGCAAACCCTAGAAGAAGAGACAGGCGAAAGGAAAAAAGGAAGGGAAGGAAAGTGGAGAAAAAATGAAGGAAAGAAGCCACGAATAAAACAGAACAATTTCGCAGAGCCTGCCTGTCTATCTGGAACACTATGGGGGCCTTCTGCAACTCTCGGATTTCTAATTTGGGGCCCACTTTTTTCTGCGCCCCTTATTCTCCCCACCTTCTGAGACCCGCAGCGGTGCTCAGAGAAAACTCAAAGGGCTCAGGGCCAGTGGAGGCTGGCGTTGGAAATGTGCTGCTCTGCCGGGCTGTTGTCCCCAGGGCCAAAGTCGATGCGTTGGGAAAACTGCAAACTGGAAGGGTCAGGCAACCTGACTTTCGGTCGGAATCAACTCCTCGGGTCAAATGGGTTTGTTTTATTTCTAAATTAACTGACAAGGGAAGCGTTTCACTACCCATTCCCTCCTTTGGTTGGAAAACCAATCTTAAAAACCCAAAACAATTTGTGACCTAGCAAAGGAGCAATGACTTTCCCTCTCCCGCTCTTTGTTTTAGGCAGTGTTACAAAGAGGTTGGGAATCTGGAGGATAAAATGCCGAGTCCCTTCCCGGGCCCTTAGAACCCTCGCGCTGGAGACTTTCCCTCCGTGTCTGTCCTGACGCTCAACCTATGTGCCAATGGTGCCCGAGCAGCTCACCCTCACTGCTGCCGTGGAGCTGCGGGAAAAGCAGGTCCCTGGGGGTGACCTGTTGTCCAGGGAAATTCTCATGGGCACCCCGGTATTCTTGCAAATAAAAAATAAACACAGTGGGCCTTAGATTTGCTCAGGGCTTGGTTTCCTCGGGGCTCAGGCTTGGAGGCCCCTCAGAGCCGGGACTCTACTTGGCCAAAGTATTTGTAAACCGGTCTTCATTAGAAAATCAACTCGCCAAAATTGGAATTAAAGAAAAAAAACACCACTTTCATTTTAAAAGCAAACCTGAGAAACATTTAAAAACAGCTGGACTCAAAGGAAATCCACTGTCCATACCATTTCAGTAACCGCTCACAAAGGAGTCCCTGCAAAGGTCAGTCTATTGAAAAATTCGGTTGGAACTCACGTAAAAACCAGAAGAAAGACATTGGAAGCCCTGGCCCGAGTTACGCGCTCGGCGGACGTAGGGCTGTCTTTCCTGGTAGTCTCATTAGATGGATGAACTCAGGTCCACATCGAAAGCCCCCGGATCCTGCTCCTGCCTCCAAGTGTCTGTTCCAGAGTTTCCTCCCTTCGGTCCTTCCGAAACGTGGCCACCGCTGAAACCGCGAGCTGCCACAGTGATTTGGGGAGGCTAAGAGGAATGTAGTAAAAGTAACTAAATTACATGACAACGGTTTATGGACCGTCTAAGTAGCAATTTAAAATTCAGAAGTGTTTAGCAGCAATTTGCAACGAAGAATGAAATAAAAAGAACGCGTCGCGAACTCTCTCGATTCTTCTCCTGCATCCATCGCACTGCCAGGCCCTGGCCACTTCTCTCTGCCCCCCTCCCCGCCCCCCACACACAGGTTCACAGCCCACAGTTATATTGAGAGACCAGGTCTCACAATCTTTCGAAACCATATTTTACGATTCTCCTGCCTACCCTGGTTTAACCATGCTTAGGTTCCTCTCCTTCCCCCCAACTGAAAAACACAAAAACAAACAAACAAAAACAGCCTGAACACTTTCAGGGAGACTGACCTTTAGAAAATCATTTACTTCGATTTACCTGAAAAAAAAAAGTGTAAAAATCCATTCCCACACAACTCCTCCTGCCCTGGTTAGAGTTCTCTCGAGCCTTCTGGGGTCATGGCTGTCGGAAGAAATCCTTCTTGTGAGCAAAAGGGAGCGAGACCTGGTATCAGGGCTCCTGCGGCGGACGAACCCGTGGCCGCGCGACTCGCTGATGACAGATCGGCGCTGATAACCCCGCGACGTTTATTTCCAGTCCCTTTGCCGGCTAAGGACCGTATCAGTTTGTACACAGTTGTGATAACCATTTGGAGGGAGAAGGGGTGTGTATGCGGGGGTGGGTGGGAAGCGGTATGTCACGCTGGGTTCAGGGCAGGTGACCCCCCTCTTTCCAGCGACTTATCTGAGACTTACCTGACGTTCTCCAGAGAGAGCTCGGAGCAGAGGAGACACCCAAACTCCGAGAGCATGTGCGGGCGCTGCCGGCACAGAAGCCCTTGCAGCAGCCTGTGTATGCTACGGACTAACTTAGCACGGCATTTCCTAGTGTAGGTGCACCACGACCTCTAATTACAAGACCCATAGGTTAGTTAAGAGCACCAACGTGCCATTCCCAGAAATTCAGTTGTTTCTATAAAGAAGGGCACAGAGAGGGAGCTGAGCGCTCGAGTTCCTTCGTTCCCATATCATGGAAGCCTTAACTTCGATGGCCACCAAGACCCTCTGAGCTCCAGGGTTTTGAGCAGAGGTCGGGAAAAGTTTAAGGTCGATCACACACAAACTCGGAGGGAAAAAAAAAAAAAGATTTAATGTGGAGGGAGGAGCAGGGAAGGCCGGCAGAGCAAAACATTTCCCCCCTCATTCTGGGGGAGCGTTGACCCAGCAGCTGGCGCGTCCCTCCCAAAGTGGTGGCAGCGCCGGGCTGTGCAGAGCCAATTTCTCTGGTGCCAACCTCCCCCACCCTCCGTGAGTGCGTGTGTAACTAGTGGCGGAGGAAAGTGCTTCGCCGAAGGTTGCATGTGGGTCGCCTGGCAAGTCTGGCGTTGGGCCACCTCCGCCCCTCCCCCGGCGTCCTGGCGGTCGGCGCCCCCTGGATGCACCAGTCCGCACTCCCGGGACCGCTGGGCTCACACCCGCAGGCAGCGCAGCGCTCATTGTCTGCCCTGGCCGCGCGCTCCCTCCCCCTGCAGCCCGCCGTCCCCTCCCCACCCTTTATTTTCTCCTCCCCTCGCTCCCTCCTCCTCTTCTTCCTCCTCCTCTTCACCTCCAGCACCCAGTTGCTCGCCGAGCGCGGTTCAGACCTACAGCCTGGCACCCTTCGGCGAGCGCTGTTTGTTTAGGGCTCGGCGAGTCCAATCAGGAGCGCAGGCTGCAGTTTTCCGGCAGAGCAGTAAGAGGCGCCTCCTCTCTCCTTTTTATTCACCAGCGGCGCGGCGCAGCCCCGGGACTCGCGCTCGCCTGCCGGCGCCCTCGGCCTCTCTCCGCGCTCGGGAGCACCCTTCACCGCTGCGGTTCTCCATGCGCGGCGCCCACCCGAGGTTCGGCTGCTTCCTTTCTCGCTCGTGCTCCGCTCTTTCCTTCCCTCCACCCCTGCCCGTCGCGGGTCCCCTGGTTCTGCGCTCCGGGCCGCAGTGGGCTCCGGGGGTGTTTCGCTTCTCCACTCCTGTCAGGCTGTAGCGGCTCCCAGGTTCTCGGGACACCCGCGTGCCAACTTCTGGTGTCTTTTCCTCTCCCCGAAGAGCTTATCTGCGCGCAGGCTTATCTCCTAGTTATCTGGGCGCAAAGAAAGGGGCGGGAGTCGCAGTCCAGCGGGCAAAGACTTCTTCCTCGCTCTGCAGCCCGGGTCTGTGTGAGCATTCATTTTAGTGTGGTTATGTCCAATGGGCCCGAGCGATGTGGACAGGCAGCCCCGAGGAGGTCTGCATTTTCCTCGGTCCTTAAAACCCTCCGAGTCTCCTTGTCATTCTTCCTGCTCTCTCCTTTGGGGTGGCTTCGGCTCCGGGGCGGTCTCACGTCCCCCCTCCTTTCCTCTGCTCTCCGCTCCACCCCGTACGTCGGACTCCGGAACGGCCCGGCCTTTCCACTGCTGGGGATGGTCGCGGGGTGGGCCGGGGTGGCCCGGCCGGCGAGAGCGCACGCGCTGGCAGCTGCAACTCGAGCCGCGATCAAGGTGTGCGGCGCCGCCGCGGGAACGCGGGTGGGGCGTGAATCTGGGCTCTGCGGGCGCCCCTCGCTGCCGGTGCCCGGAAGGTCCGAGACTGCCGTCCCCGCCCCAGGCCCCACCTTCCCAGGGCTGAGTTTGTGGTTTTTTTTCTCTCTGGGGCTTGCGTTCCGTCTCGTTAGCTCAGTCCGGGAAGCTCTGGGACAGCCCGTGTGAGAGAACGCGGCGGTTTCGTTTTCGGGACAGGTTGTCTTCCTTGAGCTAACGATTTCCACGGGGGCGACCGTAATACTGGGTGAGGGACACCTGCGAGGAGGGAGAATAAGGCAGCGCCGACACGAAATGCTAGTTAAAAAGTTCTTTTGTGTGTGAACGGCCCGGAGGGAGCCGCTTTGAGGAGGAAGGGAAACCTCGGCCAGCCTTGCGGTCACCGCCTGGGATCAGGCGCGCACGCGGATGAAGGATGCTGCGAAGGGAGAGAGTGGGGAGGGCGAGGGTACCAGAGAGCTGGGGGCGTGGGAGGGCGGTGAAACCCTGTCTTCGGAGGATCCGGTGGCTGCTGCGCACGTCACGGCCCCTCTTATCCTCCAACTCTCACTCCCAGGGCGGAAACGGGATCTTTGAGGAACCTCATCAGCTAGGGAAGGGAGTGCAAGTGCGATGTCGTAGGGCCTGCGCTCCTGGTAACCCCTTTTTATTTCTCCTCCCGTCCTCGTTTCCTCGCCTCAGGAGCTAGAAATCAGTTTGCGGCAGCGCCGGACTGTGGATGGCCTTGACTGAAGACGGCTGGTGCCTCTCCAAGCGCTTCGAGGCCGCGGGTGAGGACGCGAGCGACTCCGGAGCTTTTCCAGCGCGGGAGTCCTCCACGCCTCCTTCCCCCAGATCCTCCTCTTCCTCCTCCTGCTGCTCTCGGGGTGCGGAGCGCGGCCCCGGCAGCGCCGGCAACTGCAGGACGCCGCAGCTCGACACGGAGGCGGCGGCGGGACCTCCGGCCCGCTCGCTGCTGCTCAGCCCCTACGCCTCGCATCCCTTCGGGGCTCCGCACGGACCTTCGGCGCCCGGGGTCGCTGGCCCCGGGAGCGCCCTGTCCAGCTGGGAGGACCTACTGCTCTTCACTGACCTTGATCAGGCCGCAACCGCCAGCAAACTGCTGTGGTCCAGCCGCGGCGCCAAGCTGAGTCCCTTCGCACCCGAGCAGCCCGAGGAGATGTACCAGACCCTCGCTGCCCTCTCCAGCCAGGGCCCGGCCGCTTACGACGGCGCTCCAGGCGGCTTCGTGCACTCGGCGGCCGCCGCGGCCGCCGCAGCGGCAGCGGCCAGCTCCCCAGTCTACGTGCCCACCACCCGCGTGGGCTCCATGCTGCCGGGCCTGCCGTACCTGCAGGGGGCGGGCAGCGGGCCGGCCAACCACGCTGGAGGCGCGGGCGCACACCCGGGCTGGCCCCAGGCCTCGGCCGACAGCCCCCCGTACGGCAGCGGCGGCGGCGCGGCGGGCGGAGGGGCCGCTGGGCCCGGCAGCGCGGGCTCGGCCGCGGCGCACGTCTCGGCGCGCTTCCCCTACTCGTCCAGCCCGCCCATGGCCAACGGCGCGGCTCGGGACCCGGGGGGCTACGCCGCGGCCGGCGGCGGGGGCGCGGGCGGTGTGAGCGGCGGCGGCGGCGGCCTGGCGACCATGGGCGGCCGAGAGCACCAGTACAGCTCGCTGTCGGCCGCGCGGCAGCTAAACGGAACGTACCACCACCATCACCACCACCACCCGAGTCCCTACTCGCCGTACGTGGGTGCGCCGCTGACACCGGCCTGGCCCGCAGGCCCCTTCGAGACCCCGGTGCTGCACAGCCTGCAGAGCCGCGCCGGAGCCCCGCTCCCGATGCCGCGGGGCCCCAGCACCGGTAAGGACCCAGCCGCCGCGTAGGGGTGGGACCCATGGCCTTGGAGCGAAAACGGGCGTGGAGCAGCTACTTGACCTGGGCCCCGTTTTCTGGGCTTTTTTGTCGGGGTGCCCAGAGGTCGGTCTGGCCCAAGGCAGCATTTGCCGACCTCTTTCTGGACGACCCAGAGTCTGGCAGCATTGATGTGGCGCTTCTATTTTTCCGGGCTGTCTGTTCCTTTCCAGGGAAGAGACTGAATGCGCATATATACCTCAGCGCCTAGGAGAAGCTGAAAGGACCTGATGAGTAGTGAATGGGGTGGGCGGTAGGAAGGAATGAGCTCGGAAGGAACCGATGGGACCTGAACCCTGTGGAAGACTCTAGTTTTGCATGAGTGGAAGAGTGAGATTCCTTTGGGGGGGTTAAGTTTAGGAGAGTGTTGGGCGCTTAATTCATTCTGTCCTCAAATATGCACACAGCCTTGCTCAACCCACCTCTCTAAAGGTGAGGAGTTGAGTGTATTTTCCTGAGGGAGAGTATTTAAAAAGACTGCACAGTGGAAAAGTTGGCATCCCCCCCTCCCCCTCAGTGAGAGGGGAAGAAGAAGCCAGAGGACACCTGGACTGGAAGGCTGGTGGGAGGCCCTTTGGTCTGACATCAGCTGGTTGAGGCGCCTGGGCCCCTCACACCTATCCTTCCTCTAGAATTCAGCCCACCAGTTCTTCAGTTTCCAGTTCCACTGGTACTATCATTCCAGTGACCAGGACAACTTATGGGTGAACTGGGAAAACACAAATTCTCAGAATACCTGGAAACAGCCCATTTTGAAGTGTTTTGTTCACAGATGCAGGGGAGGGTGCGGATTGTGTTGTGTGGCCTGACAGAGGCCCTTTGGCTTCTTAGCCACAGCATTCTGGTGCTTTCACAGGTCTCACTTACTTTATATTTAATCTGTTTCATCAGCTGGCAGACTCCTAAGACAAAACTTTTTCTTCTTTAGCTGTTGTTTGAGGGGATCTGTGGGAGTCACAGGGGTGGCAATGATGAAGGAGGAGCATTGGCCTAAATTACTTCACCTGGTGCTTTTACGCCACAGGGCTGAGAGCCTCAGCCTTCCATTTTGGGACAAGAAGTCCTTCAGGGGCCCTGATTAGTTAGGATATGCGAGGCTTTGCCAACCTTGTGTTCGGAAGACGTGCTGGAAACTCGAGTGGCCTGAAAGTGAAGGATCTGATCTGAAAAGCATTGGTAACGGTGGAGAGGGCAACACGCTCTTTCTCTCTTTCTCCAACCGCC